AAAGCTAACAGGGTGATAGCAGATAGAACAGCTCCAACCAGCATCGTCGTATTGGCGGTAGACTAGAAATTGGAAAGTGAGCTAATGCTGACAGCGCTGAATAATTTCGATGGGATCACGACGTTTTGAGCCCTGTCAAACAGCAAAATACATTACTGTACTGCATCCTGATTTCGTGCCCTCGGACAGCTGATAAACTTCCGGATATAATGCTTCTTTTGCCAAATATCCTTTGATTTCTATGCGGAAACCTGATGTGTTTGCAAATCGGATAAGTCTACCATAGCGAAAAAGGGGTGGACTGTTTTTAATAATAGTCAGTTTTCGTAGAGGTGCGGTTCAATCGTCTGTTTAGCAGGAATGCTCAACGATGTGCTGTTGGGCAAATCCTGGACTGAACATTTCTATGCAGACTCTGCTCAATGCTTACGCTGTTTACCTACTTCCTCCGTCCGAAAATATAAGGCAGTTTGTCCAAAAATTTCATTTTTAAGCTCAAATCAACGTATGAAGGTTCATTAATTGGCTAATAGTAAGGCGCTCCGCGTAATGATGCGATTGGTGGGTTTCACGAATGAATTCGTTGGCTAGAAGTAGAGCTTACTTTTCCTGAAACAACATCCGAATACTAGCCCATACAGTCACTTATCTTTCTATTTGTATAAAAATAAACCTAACCCTATAAAGCAATTTTTTCGTGCCCCCACACGTTGTTTCGATAGGAGGAAACACTAACTCTGTATTAAGAGTTTGTATGAGCTCAATTCGGAAGTAACTTTCTTGTTCTCAAACAACATTCTGATGTTGTTTCCTGTTATTTGACCAATCAGGATCACGAAGTTTCCTACGCATTTTTTTGACAATATTTTTTTAAAATATTTTTATTTTAAAACTTTGTCGCGGATATTTATTGGAGAGTGAAGATTCATACTGAAAAGTACGCGTCATACTAAGAAGTATGCGTCAGATGTAGAAGTACGAGTTCATACTAAAAAAAATACTAGTCATACGAAAAGGTACGACAGTTCAGTCGTGGATGCAACACGTGGCCAGTTCTCAATCTGACGTTTCTGAGAGAGATGGGGATCCTCGAGTT